ATGCCTAGAGAAGGGTTCTCTCTAGGAATTTCTAGGTCTTCCAGCTCAACTCTGGTAAAACTTGGTCACAGAGTCACACCGGAGGACCTAGAGATTCTTAAAGAGAACATATTAATCAAATCCACAAATAATAAAATCAACAGAAGTCAAAGCTGCAAATATTGAGGGTCGATTGTAATTCCTTTTCTCTCTCCTTTCTCTCCCACCATCCAGTGGGTGACGCTGGGGTTTAGTATGATGTGAATGATTAAGAAAAGCTTTTCCATAGCTATATGATATGACCTGGGCAGAATTTGGAAAATGGAGGAGTAAGGATAGGAGGAAGAACCAGCATGGTGTAGTAGTTTGAGTGTTGAACTCTGAACAATAGCTCTGGAGACCAGGGTTCAATTCCCAAATCAGCCATGAAAACCACTGGGTGATCTTGGGCAGATTACACTCTCTCAGCCTCAGAGGAAGGCAATGGCACACCTCCTCTGAACAAATCTTGCTACGAAACCCCTGTGATCATGTCAGCTTTTACTTGGCTTTTTTCCCTAAGCAAATTTATCTACTGTAGTTGCTTGATAATTTGTGTTTCCTTCTTCTGCACCTTTTCCAGCTCAACTCTGACTTTTCTGACTTATGGCAACCCTATCACAGGGGTTTCTTGGCAAGATTTGTTCAGAGGAGATTTGCCATTGCCTTCCCCTGAGGCTGAGAGAGTGTCATCTGCCCAAGATCACCCAGTGGTTTTCATGGCTGAGTTGGGAATCGAACCCTGGTCTCCAGAGTCATAGTTCAACACTCAAACTACTAACTACACCATGCTGGTTCTTCCTCCTGTCCTTACTCCTCCATTTTCCAAATCTAAGCCTGCTCTTTGTATGATGCTTTTTGCAAACCAATTGAGCAGACAGGGTGAAAGGATGCAGCCTTGCCTGACCCTTTTGCCAATTGGGAACCATTCTGTTTCTCCATATTTTATTCTAACAGTTGCCTCTTGTCCTAAGTACAGATTCCTCATCAGGACTATCAGATATGGTGGCCTTTCCATGTCCTTAAGAGAACAGATCAAACCCTGAATTCTCCTAGAAGC